CATCTGTCTCCAGGATCCCTGCCAGTTTGATGGAAGGAGGTCACTGTTCAGTCAGACTGGGTGTCCCTCAACAGGCTCCCAGCGCTGGGCTCCCACAAAGATCCTGGGTCCCAGTATGCTCACCAAACTCATCAGCAGAGAAATGCCGTGTCCAGAAGGACTTGCCATTTGTGAGGATCATCTCATACTCCAGCTGTAGCCCATCTCCCTGTGGGGAGTGTGGAGGCCTAAGGGGGGCCCTGGACAGGGAGGGGGTCAGCAGGAAGGCAAGGAGGAGAAGGCCAAGGTGGCCAGCCCAGTCCCTTACCCCACACTTGCTGAGCGCGATGTACCACCACCTTTCACGCACTGAGCGGAAGCTGCGGCCACTAGAGCAGCTCAGGTAGTGGGTTCCCTCCTCTGACACCACCTGGGAGGAGTGAGAAGGCTGAAGTCTGCCTGTGCCTCCCTCTGGCCCTTGACCTGCCCACTCCCCCAGGCTGGGCTCATACCTGACAGCCTGACCAGGCATACTGGGTGGTGAGGTTGATGACCTGGTTGTTCTCCGGCCTGATTACTGACTCTTTGGCTAGGCAGTCCTGAGGGAGGAGGCAGGGACATGGTCACTCCTCAGCCAGCCTCAACCTTATCCCCCCTCCCCTACACCCTCCTCACAGCCTTCACCTTGTCCCCAGCCTTGTACACAGCTGGCCACTGGGATGGGTCGTCGAAGTAGAGGAGGATGTTCTGACAGCACTTGGCCTGCAGACCCAGATTTTGGGGTTTGAAGGAGTGCGGGGAGCTGGGGTAGCCCTTACCTTGGGAGGCCAAGGGAGTATCCAGCTTCATTCAGCATGGCAAATGGTTAGGGAAGGCTCACCTCAGGGTATCGGAATCGGAAGTCCAGTCGGCCGTAATCAGAGAGGAAGCAAAATCTCGTCAGGAACACCCAGTCCTGGAAAAGAGGCCCACTCAGACCGTCATTCTGAGTCCTTTGAGAACTCTCCTCAGCTCCATAATCACCAACTTTTTTTCCCTACTCTGGAGTACCTGGTTTCCCAAAAAGCATAAGAAGACAAAGTCACCTCCCAAATTTTTCTGTGATCCCTTCCTTTTGTGTTCCAGGATTCTTGCTTCAGATGCCCCCACCCCACGCCGCCCCAAGTTTCTTCCTCTCCCTTCAAACACTTCTCCCATTTCCCGGGTACCTGAGAAAGAGCCTGGAGGGTCAGATCCCCATCCTGGACACCTTTTGTCCCAGCCACCATCCCACCGGCATCCCCCCGGTTATCCACACATGCCCCCACGATGGTCCCAGAGACCATCCAGTGCTGGGGAATATACCAAAAGGCCCTCTCCTGGTCCTGAGCAGGAGTGTGAACTCGAGGCCCTCTGAGGAGTGAAAAGTGCTGTCCTTTCAGCACCACCTCGGCGTCCCCCACCCCCACCCCAACTCCAACTCTCCCAACCCGGCCTCCCCACCCGTCTCCTCGCTCAGGTCTGACCTCAATGTCCCTCCTACAATCCCCGAGTCTCCTCTCGACCCCACAGCCCCCCTCAGCCTCAACCCAGACCCAATCCCTCACATTCCCTGGCCCCACCGCCCTGCGGCATTCAGGGACTAGCCGAAAGGGGACGCAGGGGGCGGGGCGGCACCTCCCCCTTCTCCTCCCTCACGT